AAATTTAATTTCCGAAATCGAAATTATATTAATGTTTTTAATATTCTTATATCAAAAGGATTAAAGTTCATTAAGAGAAAACAAATTCTTCTTCTTCAATCTATTGGCGCATTTATTTCTACACGCCAATAAGGAAGGGAAAATTATAAGACACCATGGTGTCTTCAAAACGCTAATTTTTGATATTTTTAACAACCCTAGATGAATTCAAAGAAGAAAACATGATTCAATAATTGTAAAAAACAAGCTGCTATACAGACAATGGAAGAATCCAAAGATGATGATTGCAGCAGTGAAATTCGAAAAATATTAGTTGCATTTTCAGGTGAAACACTTGAAAATTACTTATACAAACAAAATATAGAAGAGCAGTTCTATATAATTGAATCATCCTTCCCAGATCTGGACACAGAAGATTTTATCGTGCACTGCGTTATGCTCGAGTTTCATGATTTAGCAATTGAAGTGATTAAAATAACAAATTATAATGTAGAAGAGCTTTACAAGTTTCGAGATATAATCGATACACCAGAATTTATAATTTTTGTTATGAAATATGGAATTTTCAACATGAAACGTTCTTTCTCGATATTTTTCTCTCTCACATTGAAGTACTGATAGAAAATGATATTGTTCAAAACGAAATAATATAATTCGCTTAAGTATCTTCAAGAAAAATTACAAAGATGCCATTATATTTTTCTGTGACTTATTATTATGCAAAGGTTTATATATTACTCAACTCGCAAATGCATTCATATACTTTTTAATGTTTGCACCTTGATAATTCAATATTTCTAGAAAATTTACCTTGGGATGACTTATTTGCGGATATTTGGAACTTCGGAATCGAAAATTTGCCGGACATTTGTGCTTACTACAATTTGATGCTCATTACTTAGCGCAGCATCCCATAAAAATTGTTGAAAATGTAAATACTCTAATTTAAAAATGGAACGAAACATTCAACAGTGAAGAACAGTATGTTGTTAAGCTAAGATCGACACTCGTTGTATGCTACGTGTTAGTTCTGAATTTTTCAGACTATATGTTAAAGATTCAACAGCAACCCAATACATCTACGATAAACAATTGATACAATGCGTTATAGTTCATGCAATAAACTTTTTTATTCGTCAAGTAGAAGAAACAGCAAAAGAATTCTTAAAGAATTGTAATTTCCAAGAAACTATAGAGCATTATGGATATTATTTCAGCGAATGTGATGATACAGATGATGAAGAAGCTTATTTATTATCGCTACAAAAGGAAGAGGAAGAAAAAGAAGAAGATCAAATTAAAATTTCAGAATAAACTAATAGATTTGTATAAAACCATGCACATTGTTTAACTATTGATAGAAAAAGATATAATAAATGTTTTAACCAAGAATATTTTTTACAGTATTATGAAAAAGCTGCTCCAAGGCAGACACCATCAGCATCTCAAGCTTCTCCAAGGCAAGCACCATCATCATCTCAAGCTGCTCCAAGGCAAGCACCATCATCATCTCAAGCTGCTCCAAGGCAGATGGGTCCGAACCAAAGTAGCCTACAAATTGAGAGGAAACTTTGGTCGCAACTATGATACAAAGTATATGACCTATGGCATATACCATATATCAGTACATATACCCCACATATACATATATCAGTTTGACCATAATTTCATTATTGATAAAATAATTATTTTTAAAATCACATTAAATTTCAATATTCTTTTCTACAATGAATAACTCTTTATATAGGTATATATAACAGTAACAGAATTGTATCAATATGTATTATAGTAGTGCATTAAATATTTGGTCATATCAAAAAAATGTGTCCAAATGTGTTAAATCGGTTAGAAAGCATTATATTGATATATACATATGATATCCATACGTTGATAGCATGTAGATATATTGTATATTGAGATATTTGAGAAATGATTAATGATGTGCTAAAAAATTGGTGTGTTTTAGAATATTTGTGTATTGATATTAAATTTATTAGTGTAATTGATATCAAATTTATATGAATAAGTTAAGTATAGAGAAATGCAAAAATGGGAGTTATATATCAAAGACGAATGGGTCTTAGCAAAATTTGAATAATTACATCATTCTAAATGACTACTAAACAATTTTATTTATGATCAAATTTTATATATTTTTTGGATCAAATCCATTTTAATAGAATTTATATACTATTCATCTATTAGTAAACACTACCGTATATTATTTTTTAAGCTATCTTATTTTTTGAACTTTTATTCAAATCTTTGGTCGCAAGAAGAATTGCATGATAAATAAAAACATTTAATCAAAGTCAATTTTATTTTTCATATTCAAATGGACTGAGTGTTAACATTTAACATTTTTTGCTAATTGTCGTCAAAAAATTAGGCGTAAAGCAAAAATTGATATTTCATATGGTTTTATGATAGATAAGCATTATATTCCCACTCATTATATTCGTAAATTTTGAGGTTTATCCTTCGCTTTTAAGATCATTGAATTTGATTTTTATATAAAATAGTTATATATAGAAAATAATATGATTTATGTGATATTATTTTTCAGAAGATTTCATTCTATATGCCTATGAAAAGTACTCTCAAAACTAACTTTTTCCTAATTATAATTAAATCTAGAATATTGTATTATGCTTAGTATTATTTCATTTTTCTCATTCAATTTAGAATTTACAAATGTCAAAAAATTGAGAGCTGTCACTTTTGATGAATTTCTGTTTATTACAGCATAATCTTAATATATGTACTATATAGATATTATAATTTATCTATATTTTTTTGCCAAGTATTCAATATTGTGGGCTTTTTGCTGTTTCAAATTAGACGCAAAATGATTTTAAGACGCACTTTTTCTATACTGTCAGAATTATATTCTCAAATGACGACTAGTTTTGCGCAAATCAGAAACCAAATAGAAGTACTTTCACAAAGTAATATAGTTAACATACCACAACAAAATTCTGCTTCATCTTCAAATTCAAATTCCATTTTCCAGGCAATTAAGAATCCATTTGATGATTTGCACTCTTAATTTCTTATATGTCCGAATACAAACTTATTCGAGTTTGAAATCTCATTAATTTTGCGTTAATTTTACATTAATGCAAATTATTCCTAAGATTTATCATTATTATATTAATAGACTGTTTTTATTTCCTATAAAATTTTTCTTGATACTCCTATTCCTTAAAGAAAGTTCTGAAACTCTGATTGCGATCTAGTTTTCGAACTTTCGCATAGGAATTAAAGGGTGAGAGGTATATAGTATGCCTATATGCCTCTCACCCTCCAATTCCAGCTCTTGAAAAGGAACAATCAAAATGAGTATTTAGACAAAAGATCTTATCCTAAAAAATCAGTATAATTTGCATCATATAATCTTTTAATATTATTTTTAAAAAATATTTTGGACACTGAGAACAATAAAAAATATATGAATCAAATAATCTACAAATCAGAGCTTATTGAAGGTGTGTTACAAGAGCTACACGAATTGTTTGATCATAAGCACTCATTACAGCCAAACCTTCTTTATCTGGATGCCAGTCAAATGAGTTAATTGGTTGGGTTGAGAGCTGTGATGAAGAAACGTTTTCGTATTTGATATCCTTCTTTGATTTCTTCCAAATAAGTAATTTTCCGCTTCCACCAGTTGTGGCAATGAAATCTCTCTTTTGTGGGCAATGTTGAACAATCCAGACAGTTGCAGAGTCATCAATCTTGATGACATTAGATCTGTAGCCCTTATCTGTTGGCTTATCTGTAAGATCAAATGTAACAAGTTGGCCGGTTAAGCAACCAGCCGTAACACGGCTAAGCTGAGAGTAACGATCTGAAAATTGAACGCTTGCAATACCATTACGAAGATTTGTTTCCCATGAAACTTGGTTTGCACGTAAATCCCATAATTTAAGGTCGCCATTATCGTATCCGCAATTACGGAACGGTCAGATGGACCAGTTGTTCCACCCATTGATAACGCCCAGCAGTCTCTGATTGTTCCTTCTGGTTTCAATGTTGCAACAACTGGATCTTGAGCACGAATATCAACGATGCAAACATTACCATCACGGAGCCTGTAACCAATTCAGATGGGCCTGGAGCTGCACCACCATCAATGCAGTTAATGATTTTTCATGTACTTTAGTTTGAAAACTGGTTCCTTCTTTCCTTCGTTGAAGTCAAATGTCATAACATTGCCTTCAAGATCTCCAACTGCAATGTTTCTTGTAATTGGATCAGAAGCTGCAAATGTTGCGCATCTGATTGCGGCTTTTCTGTTTCAATATCTGTTAGTTTCATGAGGAATGGCTCTTTCTGAGTTTGCATTTTATAAACTTGAAGCTCCCGTGCCACGAGGACGTGATCCGCAAACTACAATACGCTTTGAGATTTGGAATCCATCTTGTTTCATAAACTGATATGGCATATTCTCACAATGAAGCTCAACAATGTGAGTATTTTGAAGCTTTCCACTTCCGCTTTTAGACATCAACGTATTCTGAATTGAATGAAAATTAATCGTTCGATAAGTAGTCGTGTAGCAAAAGTGAAGAATCGTTCATAGAACTTTAGAATTTTGGAGTGAGACAATTGTTATACATGGGATGAAGAATACCATTCTTGAAAAAACAATAAACAAAAAGTATTAAAATTGTTTCATGTTTATTTCACAGCATTTTGATTGCGTTATGCAGATAAGATATTACGTTACAAACGTTTGATTCTTTTTCTTGCTTTTTCAGCAGCAGGTTTAGCAGCTTTTTGTTGACCGCCTTTCATTGCATAAACCTGGGTCATAAGCTTTGCGCGGGAGCAATAATCCTCGTAATTCTCAGAGAAAGACGTCCAGCCTTCTTCATTGAGAGCACTTGAAGGATTTGGTTGTAAAAGTAAGCATTTGATACTTAATAAAAGATGGTCTAAGCCCATATCTTCTGTCCAATCGGAACTCAATGTGCTAACAACAAATAGCACCAGCATCAGAAATATTTGGATGGAAAATTTTGTAAGGAAGTATCCTTTTGGTGGTTTCTGAGGGAATTCTTCCCAATTTCTAATTTAATATCAAATTCACCACCTTCAAATGGTGTTTCAGCTGGTCCTTCTATTGTTGCTTGAACTTCAGAAAGATTGTCTTCATTCATCTTGATTTTGATTCCACCAAGCTCAGCTTTGGAGAGTTTCCTAAACTCCTGCATCATTCTCTTAGCAACCTCAGGGCGTAGTGTAATCATTTTTATGCTCAATTTTTTTTCTAAACGTACAGTTTTTACTGACCAAATGAAATCAGCTGGATTTTACTATTTGTATTATAATATTCATATTGCCTCAAGTTTGCAAAAAATTTTTCACCAAGAAAATCGAGTATATTATCAAGAAATCAAATCTATTTGATTTGAAATTATGAGGTAATCAATCAAATCTCTGAAAAATATCAAATAAACTTACAAAATATAATCATTTAATATTATTTATAAAATAAATTATTGCGTTTGAAACTCATTTTTTAACGTTTGCAATTTCAAGAACTGTTGCACATTAATATCTTTCGAAAAAAAAATCATTATCATAATAAATATTATATACTTGTTAGTATATCTTATAATGAAAAATCAACCCGATGAAAAGTGCCATTTTTTAGTTCGTTTCTAGATTAATGTTGTACTTTTCATTGACTCTTTTGGGTCTAGTAGAGTTGAACTAGAACCAGGGACATATAAATTTGAGTTATGGGGTGCATCAGCATCAGACTCTCGTTCACATGGGAGCCTTGGAGCATATGTTTCTGGTGACATCAAAATTGAAAGCCGTCAAATTTTTTTTTGCCTACATCGGTGAATCAGGCAAACAAAACTCTAATTTGCGTACATTCAATGGAGGACGCAAAGTTCAACCTAGTTCCAATTCTATTGCTTTCTCAGGTGGCGGCAGCACCGACATTCGATGCAAGAAGGCACTGATTTTCATCCTTGAAAACGCGAATTATTGTTGCAGTGGTGTGCAGGTTGGCTGCTAGTTATAACAATCCTACATCAGGAGGTCATGGCGGTTTCAACGGTTTTGACGGTTTATACAGTCAATGTCCATCATGTTCTACTGTAACTCCATATATCAATGCCACAGGAGGAACTCAGATTCTTATGGAATTGCCGGAGGTGGACCAAATGGATGTCTTGGAAAAAACGGCACCTTTGGTCAAGGAGGAGAGGAAGTGGAGGGTGAATATTGTTACTGGACTACAGGAGCTGGTGGAGGAGGTTATTGGGGAGGGGAGGCTCTGGACAATAGTGGGGACGACTAGGATCTTGTGGGTGGTGGATCATCTTACATTTCAGGACACAATGGATTTAAAAGTGTCAAAAACGAAAGTTCTGCACCAATATTCAAATGAGTGAATAATCCATTCATTATTCACAATTATACTTTCGTAATACAGTTATCAAAGGAGGATATGAATCTATTCCATCTCCAAAAGGTGGCATAGAAATTGGTCATTTTGGAAATGGCTGTATCCTATTCGAAAACTCACACATTTGCTTTGTTCAAATCAAATTAATTTCTTTTCTTATCATTTTTTATATTATTTTCCAATGTATCTATTAATCTCAGAAATAAGCATATCCTCTTTCTTAACTTTATTATTTATGTCACTTCTGGAGGACTCTGTGATACCAAAAAAAGCATTGTTTTTATGATAAAAATCTCCCATATCAAGTGTCAGAAAAGTAGAGAAATTTTACAGAATTTCATCTATCATTTCAAGCTGATTATCCTCTCAATATTGATATTATGTAGAAACCGTATTTTTACGATTATTTATAATGCCATGAGAATATATGGAATTAAATTAATTGATCTTATTGAACTTTTATTGCGTAATAATTATGGCATTATAAATAATCGTAAAAATACGTTTCTACAATAAGTTGGCAATTATTAATCATTGACACAAGTTTAGTTTAGATGAAACTAATCAACTTCTTTCTAATCAATTTATGAAAAATTAAGCATTGTTGTGTACTATTATTTGAGGAATTTTATTAATTAGTTAGCTTAGTTTAAGTTTTGCTCAAATTAGAAAAATATCAAAAATTGCAATTAATTGTTCCACTTTTTGAACATGTCATCTTTGTAAAGTGTTTTGATATCAAACTTGAAATGTTAATTACATCAAAAAACATTTTATAAAAAAAAATAAAATTTTGATATAAAAATAAATCTCTAAATAATGCTTTAGTCCAAAAAGTTGTCAGCATTGACACGTTCAACTCTATCACCGGTAGCGTCGACAACTGCCTCATATATTCTGCCTATTGGCAGCATTAGCCTTTCTGATGGCTTCCTCGACCTTCTTCGACCTCTCTGCTGATGTCTTAATAGGTGTTGGCATCTCCTCCATTGCAGGAGCCCAAGCAGCGATTTGTTCTTTGCGATCTTTCCACTGCAGATTGTTCTTTATTGAGATAAGAGCATCCTGCTGTTTCGGAAATGGTCTTAATAAGGGCCTTTGGTCTGGATTTTCAAGCGGTCTTCTTTGTTAGACCCAATAACTAAAGCAGGAGAAAGATTCATTATGTTTAACATTGACCAATACAGTCCAAGAGGAAAAGATTACTTCAACAAGATGTTTCCAAGAGTTATGGCAAAGTTCATTGGACAGATAGACCTTTTCAAACAGAAGTGGACATTCTATTACGACTTTGATGAGAAGAGAAACATTTTGCGTCATTTGAACATCAATACAATGGGATCATTAGTTCATCAGTTACTTAATGAAGCTCCAATAGCAGAAGTACAAGAATTAGCATCTAAAGTCCTTGAATCAAACTATGACTTCTTCCTTTGTAGTATTCCTTCGTTAAGGAAGATCGAGATCTTTGACTATACAGCTTATTCAGATGTTGATGCTTCTGCTTTGAGAAAAGGAACGTACACACCATATAAACTCACAGCTGAAGAACAAGTTATGTTAGATACGATGAGAGCAGCAGGTCAAGAAAAGATCGCACTCAAGATCATCAAACAAAACCATTCAAAGAAGAGAAACAGGTCACGTAATGGTCAGCTTTGGACATGGACATGCAAATTACCTATTAACTTAGAGAGGTATCAGATCTTCAACGAACTTAATGCAGAGACAGCAAAGAAGATGATGAAAGATTCATGTTTCATCTACGCTTGTATTCAAGCTGGTGTTGACGAAGCAACAATTAATCATATGAGGGAAATCATTCGTGTCAAAGATTTTCCAATGTCAAAGATTAAGGTTATTGCCAAAGAAACAGGAATAAGGTTCCATGTCATCAAATACAACGAGAAGTATTCAAATCATTCATATACTTATGAACCAGATGAAGAACCAAAGATGACAGTAGAACTTTTATTAATGTATGACCACTACATGTTGAACGAAAAGCTTCCAATAAGTTCAATGTTCATCAAGAACTATGAAGATGTTTGTAAGTTGTGCAAGGATTGGACTTTAGAGAAGAAGATGTTAGTTAACAGAAGATATGAAACAAGGTATGCAATTAACTCAAAGTTAGTTACACCACTTGCAAAAGTCATTGAACTCTTGTTTGCTAACAATTATTTCGAACCAATTAGAACAGGAGAACTTTGCACATACTTCACAACGATGTATAATGAGAACCTTGAAGAAATGATTGACCTCACATACAATGAGCGTTATTGCGCAAGGATGAAGAAAGATTGGAGTTCAGAGACGAAGAAAGACATGAAGTTCCCAAGAGAACATGTTTTCTTTGCTGACTTCGAAGCATCAACTGATGGAAACATTCACAAAGCATACAACATTTGTTTCATGGAAGATGACGATGATGGTTATACATCAATTTGGGGAAGTGACTGTGCGTCAAAATTCCTCGAAGCTTTACCAGATAAGAGTTTAGTTTATTTCCACAACTTATCGTACGATGTCACTTTTCTCATGTCTCAGTTAGAAGAGATTACAGGAACTCCAATCATCAAAGGTTCACAAACGATGCAGATACAAGGAAAGTACAAAGGAAAACTTCTCTGCTTCAAAGACTCTTATGCAATCATCTCAACTAAGTTGGAAAGATTCCCTGAAATGTTTCACCTCACTAGTGGTGAAAAAGAAGTTTTCCCATATAATTACTACACGGAAGAGTTAGTTAATACAACTAAAGTTGGTAACATCGATGATGCCATGAATCATGTCAAAGATATTGAAGCTTTTAATGAGAACATTGAGAAGATTGAAGATTGCAAGATTGATGATGAACACTTTGACATGGAAGTTTATTCGTCATTCTATTGCGGTCAAGATGTACGCATTTTACGAGATGGCTTTCTTAAGTTCCGCAATGACCTCATGACTGAGTTTGAAATAGATGCTTATGATTATGTTTCAATAAGTTCTATCTCAAACAAACTCTTTGAGAAGAGAGTATATTGGAAGAACGGTAATCTCTTTGATCTTGCAGGAAAACCTCGTGAATATATTTCCAAGTGTATTCAAGGAGGAAGATGCATGCTAGCTGAGAACAAGAAGCAATACAATGAAGGAGAACTCATCACTGACTTCGATGCTGTATCATTGTATCCATCAGCAATTGCTAGACTTTACTGTTTAGAAGGAATTCCAAAAGTTATGACAGAAGAGATGAAGAGCAGTGAATACTTGTTGGAGCATCTCTTTGATGATGACCAAGCTGAACCAACAAAGGAAAAGTTCATCTCAGGATTTTACTGTCAGATCGAGATCTTGTCGATCGGTAAGAACTCAGCATTCCCATTGATTGTCGTCAATCCTGACATCAACCCTGACTTACATGTTGCCAGAAGTTCCAATACATGCTGCAAGATGTTCGTAGACCACATTACGCTTCAAGATCTGATCAAGTTCCAAGAGATCTCATGCAAAGTCATTGATGGATACTATTATGATGGAAAAAGGGACATGACAATAAGGAATGAAGTTAAGAAGCTCTTCGAATTACGTGCTAAGTATAAGAAGGAAGGTAATCCGATACAAGAGATCATCAAACTTCTTTTGAACAGTATCTATGGTAAGACGATATTAAAGCCCATTGACAAAAAGATTCGTTTCATCAAGGACAATAAGCTCACTGACTATATCATTAAGAACTATAATGACATACAGACAATAGAGTTCATCCCCGATTCCGAACTTTCATGTGTAAAGTCATTTAAACCTATCGTTCGTCACTTTAACTATTGTCCATTAGGTGTTTCAATCCTTTCTATGTCCAAACGAATCATGAATGAAGTATTCTTCACAGCAGAAGATTTGGGCTTGAAGTTGTTCTATCAGGATACAGATAGTTTACACTTGTATGAGAAGGACTTAGATAAGTTAGCAGAAGAATACAAGAGAAGGTATAACAGAGAACTCATTGGAAAAGCACTGGGTCAATTTCATTCAGACTTTGCAGAGATTACTGCAGGACATATGTCTAAGGCACAAAGATCTATATTCGTTGGAAAGAAGACTTACCTCGACGAATTAACCAATGACCTCAAGGAAATTGCTTTCCACTGTCGAATGAAGGGAATCACACAGGACGTAATTGCACTTACTGCAAACCAAATGTTCCCAGATGCGATACAAGTACATTATGACGAGAAGAAAGGTTTGTTCTTCCCTGAGAAAGTTGGGGAAAAATATAGCATCGTGGAATTGTACAAATCTCTTTATGAAGGTGATGAGATAACCTTTGACTTGTGCATTGGTTCGAAACCATGCTTCAACAAAAATAAGGACTTCACTATTTCAACGAAGTCATCTTTTGAACGTAAGTTAAAGTTCTAAACACTTACTTATTATTTTTCTTAGCTTCTTCCTCTTCTCTCAATTTCTTTGCAATCATTCGTGGATTCTTTGCGCGTCCAGCTGCTAATGCAGCTAATTGTTTCTCTGTGAGTTTACGCTTTGGTTTAGCTGGTTTCTCTTCTTGTGTTTGTTCTTTTGGTTTGAGTTCATTAAGTATTTCTTCACGAAGTTCATTCTTGAGTGCTTCTCTGTCGAAAGTATTCTCAGTCATTTTGTTAGGAGTAAAAAATTTTATTAGGATAGAAATGACGTCAAAACTTTCACCAAGTGAAAAGCAATCAATCATATTGAATGAAGCTAAAGGAATACAACATCCATTATATTATGTTTGTCATATGAAGAATGGTTCAGTTCAAGTTAGAAAGAGAAAGGCACCATTGAATTCACCAGCTCCTGCCCCAGCTCCTGTTGTTCAAGAAGCTCCTAAAGTTGATGAGAAGAAAGAAGAAGAACAAGCATATACTAATAAAATGTTGTTAGAGATGATGACAAAGATATTAGAACGTAACAGTGTAGTTAATGAACCAAACATGGACCCAATTGAACGTGAGAAGGAAACTAAAGAGAATCAAGAATATGTTCAATCAATGGAAGAGAAAAGAATACACTTCGATGATGAACCAGAGCCTGAACCAGAACCTCCTAAACCTCAGCCACAAATAAGACGAATAATCCCAAGAATAAGAAGATTGTAAATTTTTTATAGCTGAGAAAGATGTTGAACGATAACCTCAATACATACAGTATTGCTGATTCCATCAGACAAGTAAGATATTATTTCGATCAAGTTGATGGGGCAGTTCCTATTGGAGATACTAACCATAGATATGTCCCAACAAAAGTGCCAGCTATGCCGACAAATACTATTGATAACGGTTATATTACATTTAACATATCACCACCTGGTGAGAACATGATTGACTTATATAATACGTTCATTAGTGGTTATGTCGATGGTGAGTGCATAATTACAACAGAAACTGAACCAGCTGATGAAAAAGTTCCTAAATATGATGGTGAAGTATATAAAGAAAGAGCTGTTGAGACAGCTCCTACAGGATCAAATGTTACAGCAATTAAAGCAATTGATACTAAATATGCTGGTGGCAAATCATGTGCACATCTTCCAGCAATTTGGTTGGGATACATTGATTCATTCTATGCTGTTGAATCATATCAATTAATCGCTAATGGTAAAAGTGTTTATACACAAGATAATGCTAGAGAAGAAGGTTACATTACTTCTACTGCATCTACAACAGAAGCTATTAAGAAAGTTGATGTATTTAGTAAGGCTAGACATAAAGATGTTTTCAATAGATGTGATACAGTTCGTTCTGGACAGATTATTGAGTTCAATAAACCAATTAGTGGTGCAACTACATTAAAGTTCCACATACCAATCAAGATTGACCTAAGAAGATTCCTAATACTTAATAACATTAGATTCCTTCCAGCGTTTGCTGGTAACTTACAACTTAAGGTTAAGTTCAGTATTGCTGGTATGGTTTGGACACCATTAAGTTATCAGGATATTCTACCATTACCGAACATGCAAGCCAATGTTACAAGCTATATTCCAATCACTAATCACTTCACTCCTATCTATGAAGGTATCAAAGTTATTGATACTGTAACTTGGAATGCCGATAAGAGTACGATATCATTTGGTACCAAGTTTATTAAGTTCACTAAGAAGAATGCAAACTTCTTTGAAATGATTACATACTGTAACTCATTCTCTTTGGACCCTAACATCTATAGTGATTTGGTGACAAGATATTCGGCAAAGACTCTAAACTTCCCAATCAAAAGAATTGACTGCATTACTATGGATGGTTCAATGGCTAAAGGTGAAGGAACTCCTTGTACATTCACGGCAGCATTTACTCCATTATATGTGAACACCATTTATACACTATTTAAGAAAACACCTAATTATAACACTACCTATGAAAATCCATTGTTTGAACAAATTCAATTGAACTGTGGAGCATATGGTAACATACCCGCTGAGGCTCAAGCATCTAATGATCCAATCTTCTATGAGATGCAGGCAAATGCCACTAACAATAATAACGATACTGTTGGCTTCAACTATGATGTCATGAGGTCTATCACAACCACATCAGTCCCTCAATTTGGAATCGAGTCAAATGACTTAGGTCATTACCTATGTGGATTCCCTTGCGAAACTGATTATACATTCCAACAGGGTCAGTTATCTAATTCACCTATTACATATAAGCTTACAGTTAAGCCAACAGCAGAGTCTATTAAATATACTGAGAAACCAGTGTTATGCTTCTTACGTCACGTTTGCCTCTCCATACAGATTAAACCTGTGGGACCACCTATCGTACTTCTCGACGATTATGATTTATCAGCCCCTGCTAGTGAATAAAGGTTAGTTTACATATGAACGTTTATTTTTACACATATATGCGTACATATGCGCGCCCGTATGGTGTCAGTTTTCTGTCACTTTTTTCATTGTGTCGGTGACTGTAGCTGTAGGCTACAGGCGACGCACAATGTATACTGTACTTTTGTGAAAACATCTCATCAGTTTCTAGCTAATTCAAAAATCTTTACTATCTTATTCGATTAAAATGAAAAGGGAATAGTTTCATTATGCTTTAAATGACAGCCTTATAATATAATCATAGTTTTCGCTCAATATGCAGCATTTTTTTTTCGAAATCTATGGTCAATATCCTAAATACTGATTGCTTTGCATTCATATCTCTTACATTTTCTATACCCACATCACTATTCATTGCTATTCCTATCTTTTTCATTTTTGTTTGTTTCTCATAATTTCTCAAAAAACACGATAACTTGATATTTGTAAATATCATACTTTATAACGTAAATAAGAACTTGACCTATTAAGAAAAGCAGTAATGAAAAGAAAATCTGAAATTCATAAAAATTACAAGTTTCTGATGACAATTAGCTTAATTAAACCAGGTACAAGATTATATAATTGTATTTTCTATCCAATTATCCATATAATATCTTATCCAGAAAAAATAACTTGATCAATACCAAATGATTTTTTAACTAGTAAATAAAGTATTTTCTTTACACACACATTGTATATCATAGTTTTTTTTTTTTTTGGTTTCGCAAAACATCCAAAAACAAATATGCTATAAAAGTGACAATTTTAGCAAAACGAAACCCTTACTTTTATTTATTATTTTAAATATTATTTAATTTTATTATTTGAATAAGCCAACTTATATTTGAGAAGCTCAATTTGAGACCACTTAAAACATTGAAATATCATAAATATTGAAATATTAAAAAGTGTATTTCAAAATATTGAAATTATAAAAATTTATAATACTGAAATTGAGACAAATTAATAAATTCAATGTGTTTTTTTTGAAATAACTCTCAAATATTATTTTTTTTGTTTATTTAATGATGAATAAATATGATTGCTTTAGTCAATCATAAAAACTAATTTAAGTTTAAAATAATGAAAGGATAATTTGATCGTTTTTTAAAATACAATTATTTTTGATGATTTGCAAGAATCTTTGAAAAGAATATAATATAGGTTCTATTTTTGTAAAATTTATCCAAATCATGTATTACATAAATTACGATTAAAACGATGAAAGAACCAAAAAGTGTGTTTTGTGTTTTGTTGTTGCGTGTTGGATGCGGGATCCTGTTATTTCCGAAATCGACAAAAAATTTGGAAATTTAATTTCCGAAATCGAAATTATATTAATGTTTTTAATATTCTTATATCAAAAGGATTAAAGTTCATTAAGAGAAAAACAATTCTTCTTCTTCAATCTATTGGCGCATTTATTTCTACACGCCAATAAGGAAGGGAAAATTATAAGACACCATGGTGTCTTCAAAACGCTAATTTTTGATATTTTTAACAACCCTAGATGAATTCAAAGAAGAAAACTATGATTCAATATAATGTAAAAAACAAGCTGCTATACAGACAATGGAAGAATCCAAAGATGATGATTGCAGCAGTGAAATTCGAAAAATATTAGTTGCATTTTCAGGTGAAACACTTGAAAATTACTTATACAACAAAAATATAGAAGAGCAGTTCTATATAATTGAATCATCCTTCCCAGATCTGGACACAGAAGATTTTATCGTGCACTGCGTTATGCTCGAGTTTCATGATTTAGCAATTGAAGTGATTAAAATAACAAATTATAATGTAGAAGAGCTTTACAAGTTTCGAGATATAATCGATACACCAGAATTTATAATTTTTGTTATGAAATATGGAATTTTTCAACATGAAACGTTCTTTCTCGATATTTTTCTCTCTCACATTGAAGTACTGATAGAAAATGATATTGTTCAAAACGAAATAATAAATTCGCTTAAGTATCTTCAAGAAAAATTACAAAGATGCCATTATATTTTTCTGGTACTTATTATTATGCAAAGGTTTATATATTACTCAACTCGCAAATGCATTCATATACTTTTTAATGTTTGCAGCCTTGATAATTCAATATTTCTAGAAAATTTACCTTGGGATGACTTATTTGCGGATATTTGGAACTTCGGAATCGAAAATTTGCCGGACATTTGTGCTTACTACAATTTGTATGCTCATTACTTAGCGCAGCATCCCATAAAAATTGTTGAAAATGTAAATACTCTAATTTAAAAATGGAACGAAACATTCAACAGTGAAGAACAGTATGTTGTTAAGCTAAGATCGACACTCGTTGTATGCTACGTGTTAGTTCTGAATTTTTCAGACTATATGTTAAAGATTCAACAGCAACCCAATACAATCTACGATAAACAATTGATACAATGCGTTATAGTTCATGCAATAAACTTTTTTATTCGTCAAGTAGAAGAAACAGCAAAAGAATTCTTAAAGAATTGTAATTTCCAAGAAACTATAGAGCATTATGGATATTATTTCAGCGAATGTGATGATACAGATGATGAAGAAGCTTATTTATTATCGCTACAAAAGGAAGAGGAAGAAAAAGAAGAAGATCAAATTAAAATTTCAGAATAAACTAATAGATTTGTATAAAACCATGCACATTGTTTAACTATTGATAGAAAAAGATATAATAAATGTTTTAACCAAGAATATTTTTTACAGTATTATGAAAAAGCTGCTCCAAGGCAGACACCATCAGCATCTCAAGCTTCTCCAAGGCAAGCACCATCATCATCTCAAGCTGCTCCAAGGCAAGCACCATCATCATCTCAAGCTGCTCCAAGGCAGATGGGTCCGAACCAAAGTAGCCTACAAATTGAGAGGAAACTTTGGTCGCAACTATGAATACAAAGTATATTGACCTATGGCATATACCATATATCAGTACATATACCCCACATATACATATATCAGTTTGACCCATAATTTCATTATTGATAAAATAATTATTTTTAAAATCACATTAAATTTCAATATTCTTTTCTACAATGAAATAACTCTTTATATAGGTATATATAACAGTAACAGATTGTATCAATATGTATTATAGTAGTGCATTAAATTTTTGGTCATATCAAAAAAATGTGTCCAAATGTGTTAAATCGGTTAGAAAGCATTATATTGATATATACATATGATATCCATACGTTGATAGCATGTAGATATATTGTATATTGAGATATTTGAGAAATGATTAATGATGTGCTAAAAATTGGTGTGTTTTAGAATATTTGTGTATTGATATTAAATTTATTAGTGTAATTGATATCAAATTTATATGAATAAGTTAAGTATAGAGAAATGCAAAAATGGGAGTTATATATCAAAGACGAATGGGTCTTAGCAAAATTTGAATAATTACATCATTCTAAATGACTACTAAACAATTTTATTTATGATCAAATTTTATATATTTTTTTGGATCAAATCCATTTTAATAGAATTTATATACTATTCATCTATTAGTAAACACTACCGTATATTATTTTTTAAGCTATCTTATTTTTTGAACTTTTATTCAAATCTTTGGTCGCAAGAAGAATTGCATGATAAATAAAAACATTTAATCAAAGTCAATTTTATTTTTCATATTCAAATGGACTGAGTGTTAACATTTAACATTTTTTGCTAATTGTCGTCAAAAATTAGGCGTAAAGCAAAAATTGATATTTCATATGGTTTTATGATAGATAAGCATTATATTCCCACTCATTATATTCGTAAATTTTGAGGTTTATCCTTCGCTTTTAAGATCATTGAATTTGATTTTTATATAAAATAGTTATATATTAGAAAATAATATGAGTTTATGTGATATTATTTTTCAGAAGATTTCATTCTATATGCCTATGAAAAGTACTCTCAAAACTAACTTTTTCCTAATTATAATTAAATCTAGAATATTGTATTATGCTTAGTATTATTTCATTTTTCTCATTCAATTTAGAATTTACAAATGTCAAAAAATTGAGAGCTGTCACTTTTGATGAATTTCTGTTTATTACAGCATAATCTTAATATATGTACTATATAGATATTATAATTTATCTATATTTTTTTGCCAAGTATTCAATATTGTGGGCTTTTTGCTGTTTCAAATTAGACGCAAAATGATTTTAAGACGCACTTTTTCTATATACTGTCAGAATTATATTCTCAAATGACGACTAGTTTTGCGCAAATCAGAAACCAAATAGAAGTACTTTCACAAAGTAATATAGTTAACATACCACAACAAAATTCTGCTTCATCTTCAAATTCAAATTCCATTTTCCAGGCAATTAAGAATCCATTTGATGATTTGCACTCTTAATTTCTTATATGTCCGAATACAAACTTATTCGAGTTTGAAATCTCATTAATTTTGCGTTAATTTTACATTAATGCAAATTATTCCTAAGATTTATCATTATTATATTAATAGACTGTTTTTATTTCCTATAAAATTTTTCTGATACTCCTATTCCTTAAAGAAAGTTCTGAAACTCTGATTGCGATCTAGTTTTCGAACTTTCGCATAGGAATTAAAGGGTGAGAGGTATATAGTATGCCTATATGCCTCTCACCCTCCAATTCCAGCTCTGAAAAGGAACAATCAAAATGAGTATTTAGACAAAAGATCTTATCCTAAAAAATCAGTATAATTTGCATCATATAATCTTTTAATATTATTTTAAAAAATATTTTGGACACTGAGAACAATAAAAAATATATGAATCAAATAATCTAACAAATCAAGAGCTTATTGAAGGTGTGTTACAAGAGCTACACGAATTGTTTGATCATAAGCACTCATTACAGCCAAACCTTCTTTATCTGGATGCCAGTCAAATGAGTTAATTGGTTGGGTTGAGAGCTGTGATGAAGAAACGTTTTCGTATTTGATATCCTTCTTTGATTTCTTCCAAATAAGTAATTTTCCGCTTCCACCAGTTGTGGCAATGAAATCTCTCTTTTGTGGGCAATGTTGAACAATCCAGACAGTTGCAGAGTCATCAATCTTGATGACATTAGATCTGTAGCCCTTATCTGTTGGCTTATCTGTAAGATCAAATGTAACAAGTTGGCCGGTTAAGCAACCAGCCGTAACACGGCTAAGCTGAGAGTAACGATCTGAAAATTGAACGCTTGCAATACCATTACGAAGATTTGTTTCCCATGAAACTTGGTTTGCACGTAAATCCCATAATTTAAGGTCGCCATTATCGTATCCTGCAATTACGGAACGGTCAGATGGACCAGTTGTTCCACCCATTGATACAGCCCAGCAGTCTCTGATTGTTCCTTCTGGTTTCAATGTTGCAACAACTGGATCTTGAGCACGAATATCAACGATGCAAACATTACCATCACGGGAGCCTGTAACCAATTCAGATGGGCCTGGAGCTGCACCACCATCAATGCAGTTAATGATTTTTTCATGTACTTTATGTTTGAAAACTGGTTCCTTCTTTCCTTCGTTGAAGTCAAATGTCATAACATTGCCTTCAAGATCTCCAACTGCAATGTTTCTTGTAATTGGATCAGAAGCTGCAAATGTTGCGCATCTGATTGCGTTTTCTGTTTCAATATCTGTTAGTTTCATGAGGAATGGCTCTTTCTGAGTTTGCATTTTATAAACTTGAATGGCTCCCGTGCCACGAGGACGTGATCCGCAAACTACAATACGCTTTGAGTTTGGAATCCATCTTGTTTCATAAACTGTATATGGCATATTCTCACAATGAAGCTCAACAATGTGAGTATTTTGAAGCTTTCCACTTCCGCTTTTAGACATCAACGTATTCTGAATTGAATGAAAATTAATCGTTCGATAAGTAGTCGTGTAGCAAAAGTGAAGAATCGTTCATAGAACTTTAGAATTTTGGAGTGAGACAATTGTTATACATGGGATGAAGAATACCATTCTTGAAAAAACAATAAACAAAAAGTATTAAAATTGTTTCATGTTTTATTTCACAGCATTTTGATTGCGTTATGCAGATAAAGATATTACGTTACAAACGTTTGATTCTTTTTCTTGCTTTTTCAGCAGCAGGTTTAGCAGCTTTTTGTTGACCGCCTTTCATTGCATAAACCTGGGTCATAAGCTTTGCGCGGGAGCAATAATCCTCGTAATTCTCAGAGAAAAGACGTCCAGCCTCTTCATTGAGAGCACTTGAAGGATTTGGTTGTAAAAGTAAGCATTTGATACTTAATAAAAGATGGTCTAAGCCCATATCTTCTGTCCAATCGGAACTCAATGTGCTAACGCAAATAGCACCAGCATCAGAAATATTTGGATGGAAAATTTTTGTAAGGAAGTATCCTTTTGGTGGTTTCTGAGGGAATTCTTCTCCAATTTCTAATTTAATATCAAATTCACCACCTTCAAATGGTGTTTCAGCTGGTCCTTCTATTGTTGCTTGAACTTCAGAAAGATTGTCTTCATTCATCTTGATTTTGATTCCACCAAGCTCAGCTTTGGAGAGTTTCCTAAACTCCTGCATCATCCTCTTAGCAACCTCAGGGCGTAGTGTAATCATTTTTATGCTCAATTTTTTTTCTAAACGTACAGTTTTTACTGACCAAATGAAATCAGCTGGATTTTACTATTTGTATTATAATATTCATATTGCCTCAAGTTTGCAAAAATTTTTCACCAAGAAAATCGAGTATATTATCAAGAATCAAATCTATTGATTTGAAATTATGAGGTAATCAATCAAATCTCTGAAAAATATCAAATAAACTTACAAAATATAATCATTTAATATTATTTATAAAATAAATTATTGCGTTTGAAACTCATTTTTTAACGTTTGCAATTTCAAGAACTGTTGCACCATTAATATCTTTCGAAAAAAAAATCATTATCATAATAAATATTATATACTTGTTAGTATATCTTATAATGAAAAATCAACCCGATGAAAAGTGCCATTTTTTAGTTCGTTTCTAGATTAATGTTGTACTTTTCATTGACTCTTTTGGGTCTAGTAGAGTTGAACTAGAACCAGGGACATATAAATTTGAGTTATGGGGTGCATCAGCATCAGACTCTCGTTCACATGGGAGCCTTGGAGCATATGTTTCTGGTGACATCAAAATTGAAAGCCGTCAAATTTTTTTTGCCTACATCGGTGAATCAGGCAAACAAAACTCTAATTTGCGTACATTCAATGGAGGACGCAAAGTTCAACCTAGTTCCAATTCTATTGCTTTCTCAGGTGGCGGCAGCACCGACATTCGACTGCAAGAAGGCACTGACTTTTCATCCTTGAAAACGCGAATTATTGTTGCAGGTGGTGCAGGTTGGCTTGCTAGTTATAACAATCCTACATCAGGAGGTCATGGCGGTTTCAACGGTTTTGACGGTTTATACAGTCAATGTCCATCATGTTCTACTGTAACTCCTATTATCAATGCCACAGGAGGAACTCAAGATTCTTATGGAATTGCCGGAGGTGGACCAAATGGATGTCTTGGAAAAAACGGCACCTTTGGTCAAGGAGGAGATGGAAGTGGAGGTGAATATTGTTACTGGACTACAGGAGCTGGTGGAGGAGGTTATTGGGGAGGGGGAGGCTCTGGACAATAGTGGGGACGACTAGGATCTGGTGGTGGTGGATCATCTTACATTTCAGGACACAATGGATTTAAAAGTGTCAAAAACGAAAGTTCTGCCACCAATATTCAAATGAGTGATAATCCAATTCATTATTCACAATTATACTTTCGTAATACAGTTATCAAAGGAGGATATGAATCTATTCCATCTCCAAAAGGTGGCATAGAAATTGGTCATTTTGGAAATGGCTGTATCCTTATTCGAAAACTCACACATTTGCTTTGTTCAAATCAAATTAATTTCTTTTCTTATCATTTTTTATATTATTTTCCAATGTATCTATTAATCTCAGAATAAGCATATCCTCTTTTCTAACTTTATTATTTATGTCACTTCTGGAGGACTCTGTGATACCAAAAAAAGCATTGTTTTTATGATAAAAATCTCCTCATATCAAGTGTCAGAAAAGTGAGAAATTTTACAGAATTTCATCTATCATTTCAAAGCTGATTATCCTCTCAAATATGATATTATTGTAGAAACCGTATTTTTACGATTATTTATAATGCCATGATGAATATATGGAATTAAATTAATTGATCTTATTGAACTTTTATTGCGGTAATAATTATGGCATTATAAATAATCGTAAAAATACGGTTTCTACAATAAGTTTGGCAATTATTAATCATTGACACAAGTTTAGTTTAGATGAAACTAATCAACTTCTTTCTAATCAATTTATGAAAAATTAAGCATTGTTGTGTACTATTATTTGAGGAATTTTATTAATTAGTTAGCTTAGTTTTAAGTTTTGCTCAAATTAGAAAAATATCAAAAATTGCAATTAATTGTTCCACTTTTTGAACATGTCATCTTTGTAAAGTGTTTTGATATCAAACTTGAAATGTTAATTACATCAAAAAACATTTTATAAAAAAAAATAAAATTTTGATATAAAAATAAATCTCTAAATAATGCTTTAGTCCAAAAAGTTGTCAGCATTGACACGTTCAACTCTATCACCGGTAGCGTCGACAACTGCCTCATTATTCTGCCTATTGGCAGCATTAGCCTTTCTGATGGCTTCCTCGACCTTCTTCGACCTCTCTGCTGATGTCTTAATAGGTGTTGGCATCTCCTCCATTGCAGGAGCCCAAGCAGCGATTTGTTCTTTGCGATCTTTCCACTGCAGATTGTTCTTTATTGAGATAAGAGCATCCTGCTGTTCGGAAATGGTCTTAATAAGGGCCTTTGGTCTGTATTTCAAGCGGTCGTTCTTGGCATTAATCGTAATTTCCTCGAGACGACGCTTAATGAACTGTGAATACTCAGGAAATGCGATATTCTCTGAGAACTCAACAAGTTGGGCATGGATAATGCGGCTTAGTCTGTCAAATGCTTCTTCTGCGTACTCATAGTTCACATTTTGAGGAGCAACGAGTTCATTGTCCCAATCAAAGCGTCCACCCTTTCCTTTGCAGTGCAGGGAACAGATAATTGCCATTGAATCAGCTGACCATGCAAGTAATGGAGAAATTTTCGAAAATTTTGAGCAAATTTGAGCGATATTCTGAGCTGCACGTAGTTGGAATGGAAGGTAGTTTGCTGTTGGGAAGTTGCGGAGGAAAGAATATAATTCTGTTAAGTATGGATAAACAATCTTTGATCTTCTGTTTTAAGAATGAATTCTGTAATAAAGTTCATCTCAGCGACAGTTCCCCATGAAATGATTCCTTTGTCTTTCTTTACAATGTCATCACAAATACGAGAAGCCAAATTTTTGATTAATTTTTTAACGAAAGACTTTGAGATCTCGCCCTTTTCTGTGAAGAAAGCTATAAGTTCAGGAAGTAAGCGTTCGATGGATTCAGTGTGCTGCTTATCAGCCAAATTCTTATATTCATCATAACGAAGATTGAAAACAATTGGTAAGAAAGTAGTGTCATCACAGATTTTCTGAAGTTCCTTGTTAGTAATCTCCGAATATTTTGGATTAGAAATGCCAAATTTGACTGCTGTTGTAAGAGCTTTCGAAATATCGATTTTATCGACGAATTTACGTGTGATTAAGACTGTCTCGAAGAATGCTTCAAGTAATTCTGCTGATCCTTTGAATTTCTCGAATGATTCGTAAGTTTGAACGATATCTGCGAGCATTTTCTCAGTGATTTGGTGCTTTTTACCTGTTGGATTGGCTTCATAAATGGAATATACTTTGGAAACAAGTGGAACTAAGATTTCTGTCAGTGGATTTAGTTTGTGTTCTTCTTCGAAAATGACATTCTCTTTTAATTCAAGTGCACCCATGATGACATCAACTGCCTGAGCAAGTTGAACTGGATTACCCTTGGGAATTGCTTGTTTTAATTCTTCAATTAATTCATCATCGATAACGACAATTTCCTTTTGCTGTTCTTCCTCCTCTTCTTCTGGGTTGGCATCGGAGTCTTCTGGTTCGGGGAATTCTTCATCAGAAACTTGTGGAAGATCCTTCCCTTTCGTGGAGGACATAGAAAATTTTGAGACACAGTAAAATTTTATGCATTTTGACTAAATAGATATATTTATTATAGCAGTTTATGGTAATTTTTCCGCAAAATATTCGCTTAAATCAAAGTTTAGTTATTCAATGATTGGATTTTAGGACTTATCAAATAAATATAAAGATTTTCCTATTGTACTTCATGTGTATGTTAATTTACAATCCAATTTTGGTTCCAATAATGCTTTTTTATTTTGTTTAGATCAAAAATCTTCCTAAATGTCTATAAGATCCTACTAATTGAATAAAGCTTGAATATAAAAACGAAAGCACACTGATATTGAGTAATAAATGAATCAAGTTCAATTAGATTTGTCAGAAAATCCTTAACAAACTGAATGGTCGTTCAATTCCAGCTTTGATTGTTGGATCTGCTAAGTGTCTTATCGATCCAAATATGGAACATCCAACAAGCTAAAGTTCATCGAAATAAAAAAGTTTAAATCTGAATTGCAATGCATTTATTGACGAAACAAAAGCATTTTAAACTCATTTATTACCAATGAAACCAGTTTGCCTCATAGCTTAGTGATTCGTTCTAAAAAAAAACGAGATATGCAGCCAAGGAGCTATCAGCATCTGAGCCATGCGGCAAAAAAAAACTTCTTGATTCAGAAGAGGTAAAAAATGTGCATGCATATATTAGTTATAAAAAGGGAGAAAAATTAATTAAACTTAACAAACGTTTAAATTATATGTATGCTGGAGTCATAATTCCGTTGGTAATGATCATTTGATTGCGAGAGGGGCAACCACATCTCCTAATTAAATTGAAAATACTGTGTGTTAGTTTGTTTTGAAAAATTAAGGCGGCTCGGATAAAAAGTATCATCCTAATCAGAACAGATCCTAAATTATCTTCAGCGCCATGTTCAATACATACTTAATTGATAAATCAGATCTTGACCAGATCAAAAATGACAGGGTCATGGAAAACCGCTATTTTAAGGTTATGAAAACATGTCAATTTTCTTGCTTTGAAGAAACTATATCTGATCATTACAATTAAAAATCTATATGAAATAAGGAAGTCAATTTGGAAAATTGTTTTCACTTTAGGAGAATATAATTTTCCATTTGGAAAATTTAAAAAGTGAGACGCGCAGGATTCGAACTTTTTTAAAAGTTGATTTAAATGAATTTTAGTGAGGAATATAAGGATAATATCATATTTAAAATAAGAATATACTAGTTTAGGTGATATTAATTTTTTCGATAAATTTGAGAGTATGTACGTTTAGGGCATGAAAAGTGTCAATTCGCTCAGCGAAAGCTGAGCTAGCTTCGTTCTCGAAAGAATAAGGAAGGAGTGAAGGAGAATGATACAGAAGTTGACACATTCATATCATTTCAACAAATTTTGATCAAATTGAAATTCAATAAAATTCAATTCAATTCATATCCTTCAGTCAGTACATTGATATCCTTCT